CTTCAATCAAGATAAAGATGTTAGGTTTGGTAATACACAGAGAGAGAGAGAGATGGTTCTTCAATCAAGATAAAGATGTTAAACCTGGTAATACACAGAGAGAGAGAGATGGTTCTTCAATCAAGATAAAGATGTTAAACCAGGTGATACACATTATTGTTCAAATCCATTATTAAAAGTTAAACAGTAACGTTTACAATAAAATAATGAATGTAGTATATGTTGTTACTATTCTCAGTTGGGCTTCACACATTCTTGGCACTCCCATTCGTGCTGTGTAACAAGGATACCCATACCGGGAAAGAGCTTCCTCTGAAAGTAACAAATATATTTTCCATCACATACATGTTGAAATAGCTGTAAACTTCAATTTTGTATCCATGACAAACTGTTGAAATAGCTCACACTACACATGGATCTAAATGTACAGACATTTTACAAATGTAAAATACAGAAATGGTTTTCTATGAATGAAAAGTTTAAACAGGTTATTGTATTTTTATACTGTTTTATAAAATACCAGGGTTATATAAATTAATTGTCAAGGAATTTACTAAAATAACTATTTTAATTTAATAAGGCTAAAATATGTTTAAAGGTGTACTATTAAGAATTTTTATTAGTTTGAACATATATTTAACCTACCTCTTTCCTTCTTGTATGGCTCATTTTGTAAAAGTATTGCTGAAAATTTACCAAAATTCACACCTCAGTTTCATTAATTTTTGTACAGGCAGTTGTTCATCAATGAATTCATTGGTTACATTTGACATATAGGAACTGTTAGATTGATTATGACATGTCAAATGACTGTTTAAATATGTAAGAACAAATGAAAAAGAATAAATTATATTTTATATACAAATTATATGAAAATCATAGTAAAGACATTATAAAAACAAATTTACAAAAAAGCAACAGATCATTGTTAACTTTTACTAAAATTGTTGAAATAAAATTAATCCTTGTTAACTTTTACTAAAATCATTAAAACAGCAAAATGGATCATTATTAACTTTTACTAAAAGTTGTTAAAATAACAAAATAAATCATTGTTAACTTGAACTAAAATTATTAAAAAGCAAACATTAAAATACATTTATGGTTACACAACAAAAAAACTATTACTGTATAATTTTAAATCTTTTTATATTTAATTACTTTTCTAACCTAGTCAAATTCAGCTTATTTATATTAACAGTTTATATTAAAAGAAATGTTAATGATGTTCTAAATATTTATAATTTTTCCAATGTATAATTCATACCAACATGACACTTTTACTGTAGTCACTTATAACAATAACCAACACTTAACCTGGGATAAAACTGGAGAAAGCACTTGAAGGGCAGGTTAGAATTTTTTTGGAAACCATTCTCCATGTTCTCTCATATGTAAATGTTTCTTAACACTCATTTACCATACAGTATACATCAACAACCTTAGGGAACTGAAGATAGTACTTACCTAAGGCCTCCTCCCTTGTAATAATGTCAGAACTTCAAAACAAAAGTAAAGCTTGATTTATGAAGTTGTTTCAGTTAATTAATACCCATTAAATCTGATATATTTAATGAAACCTAAGAAGAAATCTAGATAAAGGAACATGATACCTAGCTTCATCACATTAAACTAAATCATGAGCATTGTGGTATCATTATATCAAATATACAAACACAACACCAGCAATGCTATATCACAATGTAATATACCAAAACATGTCACAAGAGTTGAAATGTTACTATAAAAAACATCCATAGTTATCAGCAAAACTAATATCACCATAGGAACTAATCAGCACTAACTACTACAGTCATTGGTGATATTAGGATGTACTTTAACAATATAGTGGTATTGATGTGTCTGACAAAAGGATATAGTACAGATGAATGAATTGGTACATGATATGGTGATGTTAAGATGTATATCATAAAGTTTTATAGTTATTTAACATGGTTATCTAAGTACTGTGCAATTGTCTTCAACAGAAATGTTGTAGTATTGGTGCTCTTCAGAGGTAATTAATAAAATGATAAGTAAAACTCTAAATTATAGTAATGATATTTGAACTTTACCAAATACTAAACCCTAACATTAACTGCCTGCTCTATGTTGCATACAAAACTAGGATGTTACTTACATGTGTGTGAAGTCAATAGTTGACAGCAGTTTCTCAGCTGGCTAAATAAAGAACATGTACGTGTGAACCATGATGATTTGTAACTAAAAGTATGCTACAAATCACATATGTTACACATATGATATATGGCTATTAACGTATTAAACTTAAACAAATATTTCATACAGAAAACCAATTGTAAATATAAACACAAGCTATGAAGTTACATAGCATGCTAATGTCTTAATGTTAACAATGATTTCCTACAGCATGTCATTAATACATAAAACTATTACACTGTTTTAACTTGTCACATACATCACACAAACAATGATTTTATATAGTAAATCACTGTATACATAGTATGTGATAAGTTAAAACATTGTAATAGCTATATAACTTGTCACATGCTTCATGTAAATTATTTCTAAAAGCATGTCTGTTGTTATATAACATGGTACTTAAATACAAGTTATTTGAACATGTTGTACAATTAGACATAAGCTATATAAAAGTTAATATTTCAGTGATCAAATATAGTTCAAATCAATACTTACTTTTACTATAACCTTCAGTTATATCTCTTGATACAGCCAAAAATAAGATCTTTACTTTTACCTTTACATTTTCCTGTGTTTACTGCCTATAAATTATAATCTGTAAGGTTAATTCTGTATGAGAACACTGGGGTGTAATCATGTGTTTCGTGCTCTCTAATGATAGAATTTGTTATCCTCTTCTGTTATATGCTACCTTTTACTTACATAACCTTGCATGATCATATTTCTCCAAACACATGGGTGTCAGGATGAAGGCTGGAATAACTGCATCTCCAAGTTATATTTTACTACTAAAAATTAAATTTCAAATATGATATTGTGCCTTTCTATAACCTGCCACCCCCACACAGAAAATTGCAGGAAGAAACAAAATAAGTGTCTCTTACTTCTGAGGAAGAACGGATTAATTCTCTAACATACCAATAAAATGGAAATCACAACCTGAAGAATCATACAGTGGAGAGAAACACTGCTGGTTCGTGTCAGTTATGCCAGACTACTGGGGAGAAACACTGCTGACTCTGGTCAGTATTAGGCCAGATTGCTTGGGAGCAACATTGCTGGCTCTGGTCAGTGTTAGGCCAAATTGCTGGAGCAACATTGCTGGCTCTGGTCAGTGTTAGCCCAGATTGCTGGGGAGAAATATTGCTGGCTCTATTCAGTGTTAGGCCAGATTGTTTTGGAGCAACATTGCTGAGTCTGGTCAGTGTTAGGCCAAATTGCTGAGTCTGGTCAGTGTTAGTCCAAATTGCTGGGGAGAAACATTGCTGAGTCTGGTCAGTGTTAGCCCAAATTGCTGGGGAGAAACATCGCTGGTTCTAGTAAGTGTTAGCCCAAATTGCTGGGGAGAAACATCGCTGGTTCTAGTAAGTGTTAGGCCAGATTGCTGGGGG